TCACAGAATGAGGCAGAAAATATGTTCTACACTGTAATAAAGGCTTATGTTGATTAGCAATGGATTATAAATATACTTAATTATGAAAATACCCAAGATGGCTTGAAGAACACAGATTGACCATATACCATTTTAAAAGTATTGATTTGGCACCAGTATCTTAAAAAACCCAAACGATACCCAACCCTATCCAAGAGTAGTCATAATTAAGTGTAGACTTAAAGAGGTCATCTGATGCCCATTTTCCACAAGTTGATATGATTCTTTAGGGTCTTAATGAAAAGTCTATAACATATGTTGGTTAAAATGTCTAAATGGTAGTGTAAAACAACACCCTTTTTACCCTGTCAAAATGAGCTCTGTTTTCAGCAAGCTGTTTTAGTCCATGTTGCTTTAAATGCTAATGAGCTTTGCTGACCCTGCCCCTCTCTTCCATGGGGTGATGAGCAGACTATAAACTTCAGGCGTGAAACTTGCTAACTAGCACATTATTAGGAAAGGTGATTTGCAAAGATTCATAAAAAACCTTATACTCAGTACTTCTGTAGATGAAGCTGGATCACAAATGATTCGCGCGAACTTAAACGCATTTATGTAGATCGGGGATCGGCACATTCCCTTCAAAAATTAAATGATGACTGCTATATTCATTATTACATCCAGTGTTGGGGAGTAACTAGTTACATGTAACGGAATTACGTAATTTAATTACAAAATAAAAGTAATTGTAATCAGTTACAGTTACTGAGAAAAAATGTGTAATTAAATTACAGTTACTTATGAAAATATTAAGGATTACAAAGGGGGTTACATCTGCTTTTTCCACACACACTCCCACATACAGATTTAATTGATTTCTTTCATAAATTGCAGTGACTGCTCTAAAATATGAAACGCCAATGTTTCACGAGTTTAGAAAATGCTTATTCGATAACTCTTTTATTTCCTATATGGGTTTATATATAGCTATGCTTCATTTTTTAAAGATTAACTGTTTTTTTTCCAAGGCATTGTTAGATTCCAGTGTTTACTGTCATAGCTATGTAAAGATTTGATTCCAAAAACAGTATCATAGCTAATAAAATATTTATTGTTATGATTTTAAAAATGTATTTAACCTCAGAATGATCTCAAAGTAAGTCTGATTTTGTGGTGGCTGTGCTTCAAAGGGGACATTGATCTTCCACAAGTTGGTATGATTCTTTAGGGTCTTCATGAACGGTCTGCAACATACTTTGTTTAAAATTCTTCAGTGGGCGTGTAAAACAACACCCTTTTTACCTTGCTCTGTTCACAGAGACTCATTTTGGGGCATGTCCCTTTAAATGCTAATGAGCTCTGCCCACCTGCCCCTTTCTTCCGTGGAAGAGCAAAGGCGATTTGCAAATAATCATAGAAAATATAAAGTGTCAGACTTACTTCTTCTGGAGGTGCAGCTGGATCACGAACATGGGGTACTGATCTATCCTTGAATTTTAACTTTTTAACAAAACCTGCCTTGAATGGTCCCTCATTCAGAAAGCAGTCTGCAGTAAAATGATTTGCGCAGACATAAACGAATTTAGGTATATTCAGTGGCGCATTACCATTAAAAACAAAACTAATGCACTGCGTCCTAAGTGGCGGTTGTGGGCAGGGCCTGAACAATATGACATCATACTACTCAGAAAATCAAAACGGCTTGATAATTGAGATTGTTTGGGATTTTGGGGGATTAAAAAAAAGGAGTGAGTGGATTTTTATCATTGTAGGGTGGTTGTGTCCACACACTGCTAAGATACATTTATATGCAAACACCATGTAAAAGTGAATTTTGCATCCAATGTCTACTTTAAAATTTAAATATAATCTTAATTCAAGTGATGAAGGATTTCGAAAGTGTGACAGTAATCAGTGTTGAGTACTACTGTAAGGTTTACCCTGCCTGGTTTACATGTTTGAAAATGATAAACAGTTGAAAACATTAGAAATTTAGAAAAGTAATCAAATGTAATCAGTTACATTACTTTAATAAAGTAATTGAAAAATTACACTACTTATTACATTTTAAGTAGGGTAACTTGTAATCTGTAACCTATTACATTTCCAAAGTAACCTTCCCAACACTGATTACATCCAACAACAGAACACCTCAATCGCTTAATCGGAGATGTTCTTGTCTTCCCCTGCACCGGAGTCAACACAATGGCGGACTGATGACAGCTCACTCAGGGCGGAGCTAAGGTAAGACAGACTTGTCAATCAACTATCATGGGAGGGGCCTGTGCAGAACTACGTCATTCTGACAGGGAGTCTCAGAACAGCCTGATTTGAGAAAGGGGATTTTAAGATAGGTATTTAAAAAAAAAACACTAGGTGGATTTTTATCATTATAGGATGGATGTTTACACACTTCCAACACACATTTATGTTAAAAGTAATCAAATGTAATCAGTTACATTACTTTAATAAAGTAATTGAAAAATTACACTACTTATTACATTTTAAGTAGGGTAACTTGTAATCTGTAACCTATTACATTTCCAAAGTAGCCTTCCCAACACTGATTACATCCAACAACAGAACACCTCAATCACTTAATCGGAGATGTTCTTGTCTTCCCCTGCACCGGAGTCAACACAATGGCGGACTGATGACAGCTCACTCAGGGCGGAGCTAAGGTAAGACAGACTTGTCAATCAACTATCGTGGGAGGGGCCTGTGCAGAACTACGTCATTCTGACAGGGAGTCTCAGAACAGCCTGATTTGAGAAAGGGGATTTTAAGATAGGTATTTAAAAAAAAAACACTAGGTGGATTTTTATCATTATAGGATGGATGTTTACACACTTCCAACACACATTTATGTTAAAACAACAACAAAAGTGAATTTTGCATCCAATGACCCCTTTAAAACATCCTTACCTGTGCATTCTCTCACTAAATATGCATCAAATAATTCAGTGCAATGTTCATTACTTCATGCAGTTCACCATTTTATTTATAATCATTTAGTTACATTGTGGCATAAGACAAAAATGTAACATTTTGATTCCAAGTTACCAGTAAACGGAATGGCACAATGTCTCCAAACAATCTAAATTAGAGTGTCTACTACAATATTTGAAACTACAGCAAAGGACACAGTCAGGTGTGGATACAGGAGATCATATATATATATATATAATAAATAAAAAAATAAAAAAGCCTCAAGACAAATATAAAAAAAAGTGAAGAATACAAATAAAAGACATGGCTATGAAGGTACCATAATCAGATACGGCACATTCAGCTGTGGTGTGAGCGTAGTCTTCATTTCAAACAGATACCTATTTTCTGGAGCTATTTTGAATTACAGGGCTATTTAAAGGGTTAGTTCACCCAAAAATGAAAATTAGCCCATGGATTACTCACCCTCAAGTCATCCTAGGTGTATATGACTTTCTTCTTTCAGACGAATCCAGTCGGAGTTATATTAAAAATTGTCTTTGATCTTTCAAACTGCTTCATGGCACTCAGCGGGTGCTGCATGCTTCAGTCCAAAAGACGTGAAATAAAGCACATCCCCTTCCCAACACTGATTACATCCAACAACAGAACACCTCAATCGCTTAATCGGAGATGTTCTTGTCTTCCCCTGCACCGGAGTCAACACAATGGCGGACTGATGACAGCTCACTCAGGGCGGAGCTAAGGTAAGACAGACTTGTCAATCAACTATCGTGGGAGGGGCCTGTGCAGAACTACGTCATTCTGACAGGGAGTCTCAGAACAGCCTGATTTGAGAAAGGGGATTTTAAGATAGGTATTTAAAAAAAAAACACTAGGTGGATTTTTATCATTATAGGATGGATGTTTACACACTTCCAACACACATTTATGTTAAAACAACAACAAAAGTGAATTTTGCATCCAATGACCCCTTTAAAACATCCTTACCTGTGCATTCTCTCACTAAATATGCATCAAATAATTCAGTGCAATGTTCATTACTTCATGCAGTTCACCATTTTATTTATAATCATTTAGTTACATTGTGGCATAAGACAAAAATGTAACATTTTGATTCCAAGTTACCAGTAAACGGAATGGCACAATGTCTCCAAACAATCTAAATTAGAGTGTCTACTACAATATTTGAAACTACAGCAAAGGACACAGTCAGGTGTGGATACAGGAGATCATATATATATATATATAATAAATAAAAAAATAAAAAAGCCTCAAGACAAATATAAAAAAAAGTGAAGAATACAAATAAAAGACATGGCTATGAAGGTACCATAATCAGATACGGCACATTCAGCTGTGGTGTGAGCGTAGTCTTCATTTCAAACAGATACCTATTTTCTGGAGCTATTTTGAATTACAGGGCTATTTAAAGGGTTAGTTCACCCAAAAATGAAAATTAGCCCATGGATTACTCACCCTCAAGTCATCCTAGGTGTATATGACTTTCTTCTTTCAGACGAATCCAGTCGGAGTTATATTAAAAATTGTCTTTGATCTTTCAAACTGCTTCATGGCACTCAGCGGGTGCTGCATGCTTCAGTCCAAAAGACGTGAAATAAAGCACATCCATTCATAATAAAAAGTGCCTCAAGCAGCTCCGGGGGGTGAACAAAGGCCTCCTGTAGCGAATCGATGCGTTTTTGTAAGAAAAATATCCATATTCAAAACGTAATAATCACTTTATTTTAGCTTGCACTCACAGTTGTACACAGAAGCAGCTCCGGGCGGATGACGTATGAGTTCAGCTTTGCGCATGCGCCGGTGAGTCTCGTGAAAACCAACGTTTGTTAACAGGAGCAAAGGAAGCAAAGTTTCCTTACTTTAGCAAAGGAAAACCAGTCTCCTCTTGGCTTATATCAAAATCTTCCCACATTCTTCTTTACAAATCCTTGTTTTGTACTTCTAATTAGTGACCGTTTTGTTTTGATCTCTCCGCTGTGCTTACATGTTCGTCACTTCTGAGCGGCGCATGTGCAGCGCTGACCTCATACGTAGTAAACGGAACGGCGCAATGTCTCCATACAATCGAAATTAGAGCGCGTCTACTGTAATGTTTGAAACTATAGCAAAGGAGACAGGTGTGGATACAGGAAATCATTTATAGAAAAAAACAAATAGCCTCAAGACAAGTATAAAAAAAGTTAACAAAAACAACAAAATTTCAAACAGATGCCTATTTTCTTGTGCTATTTTGAATTGTAGGGCCGTTTTAAGCTTTCTCCACAAAGCACAAAAATACCGTCTAATTTTCATGACTTCTTAGGTGCATCTATCGGGTGTAATGTCAAAAGAAATGTATTACATTGATCACAGTTAATGGGCCTTTCTCCAGAGTGAATATGCTGGGGATTTTTAAAATTGCTTCTTTTGGTAAACCTCGTCACGGTCACACTTTATTTGCAGAATGATCTTGAAAGGCCTCTCTCCAGTGTTAACTCCTATGTGTGTCTTCAGGTTTCCTTTGACTGTGAAACACTTTGCATAATGATGGCATATGAAATAGTTCTCCCGAGTGAAATCTCATGTGGGTTTCTTCACATGATTCCACACATATTTCATGTGAATCTTAAGATTTTCTATTTGTGGGATGCTCTTCCCACAGGCTTCTCTCGAGTGTGTTGTTTTTTAATGTGAGCATTGAGGCTACCTTTATGACTGAAACTCTTTCCACACTGATCACATTTACAGCATTTCTCTGCCGAATGAGTCTTCATGTGGTAATTAAGGCTTACCTTACGAATGAAACGCCTTCCACACTGATCACATTCGAAGGGTTTCTTTCCAGTGTGCCTGATCTTGTGACACTTAAGGCTAAATTCTGTTGTGAGGGTCTTTCCACAATGATCACATGTGAACAGCTGCTGTCCAGTGTGAATTTTCATGTGGTAATTACGGGTGCATATATGTGTGAAACTCTTCCCACAATACTTGCAAGAGTAAGGCTTCTCTTGAGTGTGAACTCTCATGTGGACTTTAAGGTTTTGTTTTGCAGGGAAACTCTTTCCACACTGTTCGCATGTATAAGGCTTCGCTCCAGTGTGAATGCTCATGTGGAAATGAAGGGTGCTTTTCTGTGTAAAACTCTTTCCACACTGACGGCAAGTGTAAGGTTTCTCTCCCGAGTGAGTTCTCATGTGTCTTTGAAGGTGCACTTTTTGCGCAAATCTCTTTCCACACTGTTGGCAGGTGAATGGCTTCTCTCCCGAGTGAGTTCTCATGTGATTTTTAAGGTGTCCTTTTTGAGTGAAACTCTTTCCACACTGTTGGCAGGTGTAAGGCTTCTCTCCCGTGTGAGTTCTCATGTGCCTTTTAAGGGCTGCTTTTTGAGTGAAACTCTTTCCACACTGTTGGCAGGTGTAAGGCTTCTCTCCAGTGTGAACTCTCATGTGCA